GAATATAAATTGTACAAAAAATTACAACTAATATAAAATCTATTTTCATACCCAAATAAAATTATTTGTCTTAAGAATTGATTATATAGAAAGAAATGGTCCCTTTACCTAGCTCCTAAATATTTTCTTTAAATTCAAAAAGGTCCTTGTAATTCAAACATCAAAAACAAATTATGTACTAATTAAAAATTAATATACTAGATTAAACTTTTTTTCAAAAGCTTATGGGGGGGCAGCTGCCCTTCCTTGTCCTATGGTAGCTCTGTCCTTGCTACCAGGCAAGAATGATCTAATAATTGCTGGGTGGGCTAATCCATTATGTTGACTTATATCATGCCACGTATACTGCAGCCATTCATCCTAAAAAAATAAGATTAAACATAATTTTTGGTCTTTCTATGATAAATCTTTCAAGATTTTGTAGGATAGGAAGATTTTATGATGGAGATATACTGCTATGGCTGGCCTATATTAAATTATCAGCAGTAACAAGCAGGAATTGTACAAACTCCTCTGTGGGAAACTTTAGATTTTTTTATGGACAGTGGTGCTGGATGCTTACTTTTTCTTTTATTTTTCTAGAATGATGTCAGAAACAGTTCCCTTCAATTGGCTTCCTTGGAGCAGCAAAAGGCTGATAAGAATTTCTTGACATTGATTGAAGAGCAGAAGGTGTGTGAGTAATTCAGCTTATTCTATGCCCTATTCGCACTTAATTGTTTCACATAATTCTGTAGCATATATTGATGGGAGTTTCTAAGTTTCAGAGGGAAAAAGAAGAATACCTGAAGAAGATACTACAGTTAGAAAAACAACTGGATGCTAAACAAAAGCTAGAAATGGAAATTACAGAGTTGAAAGGTAAGTTGCAGGTGATGAGACATCTGGGAAAAGATGATGCAGCTGTGCAGGACAAGATGAAAGAGATGAACGATGAGTTGGAACAGAAAATTGAGGATTTGCAAGAGATGGAATATATGAATCAAGCTCTTCTCAAAAAAGAACGTCAGAGCAATGATGAGCTACAAGAAGCACGAAAAGAGTTAATTGCAGTATGGTTTCTTGCTTTCTTTCTATTTCCTTTTTCCCTTGTATGATTTCTTCTGTATCTTGTGTAAAACTCTTACTAGAAACATTTTATTATACAGTGTAGAGTCTTTGAGTTAACTATGTGGGCTTTTGGCTTCTATGGTGGTCTAAATAGCTAGTCAGTTTAGAAATATTTGATGAGCAGGGCATTCCTATTGCAGTAAATGATTAAAAATAATGTTCTAAAAACAAGGCATTTTGTTGAGTAACATTTTGAGAGACATTGGCTGACAAATTCTCTTGGCACAGATTGATGACAGGTAAGATGAATGTGGTTATTAACTGAACTTTTTTTGTTTTTTTCTTGCCATAGGGTTTCAAAGATTTGTTGGGTGCTCGAACAAACATTGGACTAAAGAGAATGGGGGAAATTGATGAAAAGCCATTTCAGAATACTTGTAAGCAGAGATTCACACTTGATGAAGCAATGTATCAGGCCAGTACACTGTGCACCTTGTGGCAGGAGAAACTTAAAAATGCTGAGTGGCATCCCTTTAAAATAATAACCGGTGGAGGGACTCCTCAGGTATGACAGTTGAATGTTGTGTGTATAAAGTGCAAATTCAAAACCATGGTAAATTATAAGTTTCTTTTTGGTTTTTATTGGTCTTAGGTGCTAATTCTTTACTTTAAAATTATTCCTGCAATTTTTTCATGATGGTCAAGAGATTCCTGTTGCAAGGGTTCAGATGTTCAATGCAGAATGGAAGTAGAAAAAAAAAAGAAAAAAGAAGAAGAAGAGATCATTTTCTTCTTTAGCTTGCTTAATATATTTTGAAGTTTTTCATGCTCTTTGTCTACGTAAGTCAGACAACCATGAGTGAATTTGTTGTTATTCCTTTGGGGTGTTTGGTATCTGGTCCTTCTTATCTTAATATCTTGGGTTTTCTTGATCAAGGATGGACTTAAACATTGTCATGGATTATGCAGGAAATTTTAGATGAAGAAGATGAACAGATACGAAATCTAAAGCAGGAATGGGGGGATGAAATTTACTCTGCAGTGGTAAATGCTCTGAAGGAATTGAATGAGTACAACCCCAGTGGAAGGTACATTGTTTCTGAGCTCTGGAATTTTAAGGAAGAAAGAAAAGCCACACTGAAGGAGGTCGTTGCTTATATTGTGAAGAATATCAAGTCACTCAAGCGCAAGAGGAATTGATGTTAAGGTTTGTTAAGGTCGTTGCTTATAATTTTCCTTTTTCCCTTTTCTAAATATATAGACGTGGTATTTGAAATTGTTCATCATAATTCTATGACAATCTTGAGGTTGCCTTACGGATGTAGACCTAGCAAATCTTAGCAGTTTGTATCTGCATGGAGCTATTGACTGACGTGCTTTCAAAATCTCTTTGGTTAATTTGTGAAACTCTTAACTTAGGGAATTGGCGTTAAGAAGAAATTAGCATGATTGATATCTGCCTATTCAAATGGACGTGCCATAGAATTTGCATGTGGATACATAACCTCATTAGATCACACACACATGGTGCATACATTCACGCTTTAATTTGCACATTTGTTTTTTGTTAAGTATATGTAAATTTTTTGCTTTGGCAGGATCCTTGAAAGTTTTAGGAGTCTAGAGCTGCGTGCGTGCAGTCTAAGCTGGAAGGTAGAACCTACCGAAGGAGAAGAATATTCTCATGTTAATCTGTAAATCAGACATGCAGTTGTCTGAGGTTGTCAACTTCAGCTTCAATGTGAAACTGTCCTAAGATACTGAAATACTGTTCTGCTAATCTGTACTATTACCACCATAATCACTAGCACTTTCTATCCCCTTTTTTCCTTGATAAAAAATGAGGGCGTTATTCTAATTTGGTTCTGCACCTTTTTTTTTTTTTGAATGTAGGTCATAGCTTCCTAACGTTTTAAAGTATCATAGGTTATGAATGTTTGAAAAATTATTTAAATATATATTTTTTACGTGATAATTTATTAAGATAATTTAAATTTTTTTGCACTTGGTCTTTCAGGCCAACTGGTATTTTGTCAATTTGAGGTGCATTTTTCTTTTTTCATGGATGGGTTTTGAATTCGTCTCTCGACAATTTGTTCAAAAAAAATTTTAATTTTTTTTATTATTTTTAATATTTTAGTAATTAAGATATTTTATTTTTTGCAACTTTATTTTTATTTTTATTTTTTTTTAAACATGATTACAATCGAGAGAGGATATAGAAAAAATAATCTATGGGGTTTGAAATTGCAAGTCATGAAAGTGATTTTATTAATTCAGGATCAATGTTATTAAATCCAAACGTGTGGATTATTTTAATCATTCTTTTTATTTAACTATAGTAACTTAATTTTGATTTAAAATATTTAAATTTAATTATTTATTTTTTATTAACATTATTTAATATGATTATGTTTATTATAATTATAATATGTTTTTATTTTTATTTTTATTTTTACTTTTACTTTTTTGAATATTTTGGCAAGAGACGGGTTTGAAACCCATCCAGAGAAAGGAGAGAATGCACCGGGTTAATTGGTTAATGCTAGTGGACCTCTAGGGCTAGGTTGTAATATATATTTTTTAAATAATAATTAGTTAAAAATAAATATAAATTTTATCGATTAATTATTACAT